TGATGTTGATGATGATGTTGAAGTGGATGTTGATGTTGATTTTGATGATGATGTTGAAGTTGATGTTGATGTTGTTGATGATGTTAATGATAAAGATGATGATGATGATGATGATGCTGGCGATGATGATGCTGATGTCAACGTTGATGTAATTGGTATGTTTTGTTCTATATTGAGAAAATTAAATTAAAAATCCAGACAGAGGTGTGCTATCACAGTCAGCTTAGATTTAGATAGCAAAACGGTAGCAGTAATCGATAAAAGTCTGTATGAGTGACAGCACGCTCTCCTTATAACAACTAAAAAAAGGTTTTCTAGTGCTTTTCGACACATTTATTGGAGGAATATTTTACATTAAAGTGAAACAGCACTGACAGAGAAGAACATGATTTCAAATGTATATACAAACCTATTTTCTTCTGAGGTATTTCATCACAGATATATGTATTATATGATAGTTGAAACCGGTAAACTTCCACACAATATGCCTTTAGAAATAGCTTGTCTAGAGTCTTGTACAATTGAGAATGTAGAGATGATGTTAGAAAGCTCATTTCTGAATGATCATACGTAGGACAACATGTACAAAAACTGATTCTTATCGACAAAAATTCCTAGGATACAAAAGTCTATTTTTGTGTTCTATTGATAATTCGATCGATCAAGTAAATCTTATCTCGATAGATTAGAATTATAGTATTTCTAGTCAACTTACTCTGTGTTATAAATAGTACTGATTGATTGATGAATACGAGAGATCCATTGAAATAATATTGAATAATAATTGAATTATTATTCAAATAGAATAATTGACAAGTTTGATTGGTCGAAAAATAATTTAATGCAGATAATAATGCATTTGATTTCATCATTTCACATATACATTCATTCTGTGTTATATTAAAAAATGATTGATTAGCATTACTAATGATGATATTATTGTTTATTATCCCAATAGGAATTAAATCAGCAGTAGAAAATATTGAGAAAATAAAAACAAACCAAAACATGATTTTTTTTCTTTTATGGTGTAAAGCAAAACTGTCCTCTGTACTCTTTTTTTTAGAACTACTACACTGTTGTTTTTTTTTACTTTTGTAATTAATTACTACAGAGAAAAATACAATGAATCGTTTCTATGATAAAAAAATATTGTTGCATATATTCTAGCTGTATAAACTGCCTGTAGTAGTTATTGTAAAAAGAAAAAAATATTCTTATTTTCATTAGCCATTAACAAAATCAAACTCATAAACGTTATATCTGCAGAATGAAGAAAAAAGTAACAGTTTTTTTTCAAACATCAAGCTTTTATTTGATTAAATTGTTATTTAGCGTACGTCATCCAATATCATAAAAGAAGGAAAAACCATTTGGTAATCACAAAAAAAGTCCGATTATTTCTTCTTTCCATAAAAAATCATCTCTTCAAAATGAATACGATCACGTGATGATTGTTTAAAACGACAAGAAACTATTGTCTTTGTTTTTCAAAATATTTCGAATTGTTCGAAAAGGAGATTATATTGATTTTAATAAACATAAGAAAGTGATATTTACTAACAATTGTTCTACTCTTGAACATTTTCAAATTCATTCATGAATCAAAAACTAACATATAATAAAGAAAATTGACACGCGGAATATCTCTTTCGTTGAGTATATATTTTTTGATGAGAGTCACAATCATGCCATGATGACAAATACTACGGATATATATATTATTTATGTATCACTCACACCTCCAAATCGCCATTGTATATGCTGAACTAATCGAGTGCTATTGATAAATAATCTCTGTTGTCATTCAGGGTATTCAGTACAGTTGTGAAAGATGACAATGATGAGAAAACTCTAGTCATTGAAGTATGTATCTTCTGATGTGAGCCTTTTTTTCTCTCTGTTCGTCACTTAAAAATAGTAGTGATCAAATAATATAGAAAAATAGAGTTTCATTTTCTCTGTTATTTTATGTAGAAAGGAAACTAGATGTATAAACTAATACTTCTGGATCGTTTTAAATAAATCATTACTAGTCGTATCATACACCATCAAAAGACTTGCTTTATAACGAACATCGACTTTATTTCGCAAGTCTTTTGAAGTATGGTGATTGACCCTTTCGCGGTGATTCCATTTTGTTGTTTTTATCATTACATAGACGCCTCTCTTTTACGTCGAAACGAGATAATGACACGAATTTTCGTTCATGTGTATCAAAATAATTGAAGTTTTGAGTGGATAATCGATACAGAAGACAGCGGGAACTCACTGAGTGATATTAATTCTTTGAATGGTGGTTTTACTAGAATGCAATTTCAATTGATATTTAGAACAACAATCGTTAATGCCTATTTGATTTACAAGGAGAATTATGATAAATGTTATTCTCATGCTTGTTTCAACGAGAAACATCACGCTATGCAATAAAGAATTCAAACAATAGTGAGGCAGAGCGGATAATACCTTACGTGTAATCTCCCACCCAAGAAAAGAAGAAAAAAAGTCAACTTGAGTTGGATAGTTTGTTTCGAGATTCTGAATGCAAGAATAAGTGTTTGATTTATTTTTTTTTATAATTAAAAATAATTGATAAGAAAAAAAAAGAAAAGTTTAATTTTTCAAATGATTGAAAAAACAAATAAAAACGATTGAATTCAGTCTTGTTTGATAACTTGTTCATGGTTTGTATCCAATTGAGAAATATAACGATTTTTAATCATGATAAATATTTCCATTATGAAATAAAATATACAAACCATTATAACATAGAATTTGACTATTGTATAACAAATAAAACAATAAGAAAAAAATAAAATAAATAAAGTTGAAAGTAATAAAGCTAAACGACGTTGAAATTGCACATTCAATTCTATTTGTTGATTATTGATTTTATTTGATAATGAATCAAATTGATTTTTAATATAAAATCTAAATAAAAATAGAATTTTGAATTTAAAAAAAATAAATTATATTTCAGTTTTACTCTTTTAATCTATCTTCTTTTTCATCCCATCGTTTTAATAGCCATTCTTCAATTTGTTCATCTTCATTTGGTAAATCATTAATATTATAACGTTTTATATGAAAATGAACTACTTTTGGAATATAACCTTTTAAAAATTCCGTTCCTTCGACTGCAAATTTCCCTTCATAACCAATTGTTATATCATCAACAGTATTAATAACATTATCTAAATATAAAAGAAGAAAATAAAAAAAGAAATTTCTAATTTTTTACTTGTTCTCATTGTATGAATTAAATATGTAAAACCAGTTGTATGTGGATGAAGACAATATTCATATGGTCTATTATATTTTGGTTGTTTTGAAGCATATAAATTACTTTTCATTTTAGATTTTTCAAATAAATTTGTTCCCTCAGGAAATATTAATAACTATAAAGAGAGAAAATTTGTTTTGATTTAAATAAATGTAGATGTTAAAAATTACATACTGAAACTGGTGTTTGACATGATTTATAATATTCAATAAGATTTTTCATTTCTTCTTGATCTCTCTCCCATTTACGATTTAGAAAAAGAAACCCACCATGATTCAATCCCCAACCTAAACATTAATTCTTTGATAGAATAGAAGAAAAGAAAAGAAATTTAATTTTACCAATTCCAGGAACACGTTTTAGTGAAGCTTTTAATGCAATTTTTAGTCGATTAAGAAGTTGAAATCGACTTTGTAACATCCATATATACATCCAATCAAATATTGTTCGATGATTTAATAAAATAATTGAACTATTTTTTTCTTTAATTAATTCATCACCAGTTATTATTATTTTTATTCCAAGAAAATCTTCCAAAAGACACTTAAATATACAACGAAAAAAATTAATAAAAAAAAATTTTAATAAAAATCAATATTTACTGTTATCATTAAAAGAAAAGAACCTATTACAAAAGAACATAAACGAAAATGTAATCGTCGATTTACAAATATAAATGGAATTGCTGGTGTAAAAGCAAAAATTATATAAAAACATGCATTGACTAAGATTATTAAAATAAAAATAATGACTTTTATTGAATTAATTAAATTCATTATATTAATACTAAAATATAGAAATAAAGAAATATATATATATGTTTATATGTCGTATACAAAAAAAATTGTTTTTTCATTTTTTTACCTAAACTGACGCTTTTTTTATCAACCAATCATATTTATTTTCTCATGATTGTCACAATCTTACTTTGAAAGATATATGGTTGACAAGATTCTATATAATTAACTAATTAAATTCATTTATCTACCTTTTTTTTTTAATTTTTTAACCGAAGAAGAAAATAAACTAAAGAGATTTTACAAATTTGTAATAACGTATTAAAATAAACGTATAAGTCTAATACGATTGTGTCATTTAGTTAAATAAGAGATAAATAAAAGGTGAGATGATTCATTTCGATAGTCTAGAGAAATATAAAAGTAAAGAATAGACGTATACATTATATCGATTTACCTCTAGTTTTTTACTTTTTATTCAATGAATATTAATAGGAATTATTAATCTGTAGTTTCGTATTTTCATAATTCATTATTTATTTAATATACCTATTTCAAATAATAAATCATACTTGAACAAAAACAATATGTTATCAATATGGATTTTATCAATACTTACGAACTATTTACAAAAGAATGAAATTTTTCTAGTTTCATGTAGATCTCCTTATAAAATCGAAATAGACAAATATATATCTTATAATAAATGAATTTATTTTTGAAAAATAAAAATTTAATCACTGTAGTCAAATTCTACGCGTAAAAGATATTTTATTTTGATTTGATCCGTATTATAAACAATATATTCATTATATAATAATGAACTCTGTGGAATATTTGCATTAATTCCATGACCCACTGGAATGAGAATACCATCATCCGTATAAATATGTTCTAAAACAAATTTATTAATAGAAAATAAAAAAAAATCTTAATAGATTCTTTTCTAACCTTTTGGATCTGGAATTGTTTGTCCACAACCTTTAGTTGATTGTTTATCTTGAGGTAATTTGTCAGCAGAAAGACTAGTTGCTTGATAACATTCATACATTTCCCCAAGAGCAACTTCACATAAAAGTAATAATCCTTCAGGTGATTCTCTTGTAGTAAAACAATAATTTGCTAAATGATTAATTTAACAAAAACAAAACTTATTATTGAATTAAAAAGATAATAAAATGAATTTACCACTCTTTGAAACCATATCAGCAAAATAGACACCTTTACCAAACATATAACCTGTCTAGAAGAAAGAAGATTTTTGATTTATTTATAATAAGATTTATTTTTATTAACCATAGGTGCTTCAGGTGGTGCAATACGTAATCCTTGACTAAGAATTCCAGCAAAATTTGTTGTTCTTGATCCATGCCATAATAATTGATGATTTTGAATATTTTTCCATTTTTGAAAATTTTCTTCTTCATTTTCTCTTTTAATTTTAAATAAATTCTTTAATTTTAATTTATATTGTTTATGTGTTGATGCATGTGTATTATTCATATAATTAACAATTTGTTTAAATTCATCCGATATTGGATCAATAGGTTCAATAATAGATTTTAATTTTTTATAATGAATATCTAATGGATGTTCTTTTTCTTCATCAAAATTTGTTTTTAACATTGAATAAGCTATTTCAATTTCTAATAAATTATCAATCATTTCTGTTTTATTTTCAATTAAATCAATATTATCAAGAATTATTGCTTTATTTAAACCAAAATCATGTGGAATAAGTGTATAAAATTGATTACTCGCATCAATAATAGATGTTTTTGTTGATGAACCATTTGTTATTAATATTTGTAATTGAGTAAGAATTTGATAAGCTTTATTTAATTGATTTTTTGAAAGTTTACCTAATGGCATTTTAGTAAGATCAATATCAAATGATAATAATGTTTGTTTCATTGTTTCAACATTAAAAATCAAACGAATTAAATCTTGTACTGATGGTGAAAGATTTGATTGAATTTTATAATTATTTTCAAGTGTCTTTTGTATTTGATCATTATTATTATTATTATGTTGTCCATAATCAATTTCTAATGGATAATATTTTTTAGCTACTTTTGTATATTTTCCTCGATTTTTCCATTCATTTCCAGTTTTATCTAAGAATAATTCTTGAAAAGTATTAATAGCATCAGTTTCATCATCGAATTCCTCGATTTTTTTACTACCAAATGTAGTACCTGTTCGACCCTTGAAAAAAACAACAACAACAAATAATTCTTTTTTTTATCTAAAATAAAATAAACTTATCAAGCACGAAAAAGAAACCATTTTTCATTATTATCATCTTCAAGTAATTGAAGTTTGTAGTAACGATTAGTACCAAGTGTTATATCGACCCAAGCAAGTACTGCTGTAAATATATCACCAGTTTTACTATCTTTTAATACATGACAAGTTTCTTCAAGTCCTAAATGAAATAAATATATGAAATCTATGCTATTGTTATTAGAAATTAACCTGAATCGGGATCTACACCAGCACCATCTTTTAATTTCATAGTCATTTTATCTGGTAGAACTCTTTTTGATCGAACTAAAAACAAATCAAATAAATATTAGAAAGAATTTCAATTTTAATATTAACAATTCGATGATTTTCTTTTAATTTTTCTTGTTGAATGTGTTTGATGTTTTCGAATATGAGGTAAAATTCCCCAATTCGATAATTTTAATTTTTCCATTACAATTGATGGTCGATCAGTAAGAATATCTTCTAAAAATTGTTCAGAAACTACATGTATATTGAAATTTTGTGCAATATCAAGTTTTTTATCTCCTTTTTGTATTTGATCTATAAAATAATAAATAAATTGAATTATTAAAAAATAAATATTTAATTAACCTTGTGTACTAATAATTATATCAACTTTTTTATTAATAGTTTTCATAATTGTTCCACCTAATTCTTTAATTTGTTTTCTTAAACTACGTTTTCGTTTAGATAAACGACCGATGAATGCAAGAGAATAACCATTCAAAGGTAATTTACAATCATAATCAGGTCTAAAATAATATTTCACAATGTTAAAACGATTTTTAAAAATAAATTTACTCTGAAATCTCAACTGTTGTATTGATCAATAATGGTTTCTTTATGATTTGTGTCATAATTCGATTACGTTTTGTATATGTATAATTCTCACTATAACGATAATATATACACAAAAAATTTTCTTGATGTTATATTTACAAAAATTCATATTTGTTTTTGATTTTATCGGGAATTTCAAATGGTTTTCTATTCGCTATTTGTGTTGAATAAGAACAATTTGTCCATTCCGTTAGATTTCCAGTACAACGATAATTTGTATAACTTAAAATTTAAGTGAAAAAGTTAATATTTTCAAATAAAATCTTGCTGCATATACTTAAATATAAGATAACCATTACATTCTGGACAAGATTCAAGTGCACCAAAAGCCATACAATCAGCTACTGCTTCGATTAACTAGAACAAAAAAAATCAATTAGATAATTTCTAGTAATAATTTGTTTACATTTGATCCTCCTGAAACTAATTTTTGTGAATTTAATTCTAATAATTCTTTTAATACTTCGTGAGGAATATCTTTTCGTAAAATATCTTTATAATTCCATAGAAGTTCATTTTGTTCCTAAGAGAAAAATTGTTATTGAGAAAATTATGAAATCTAAAATAACTTTTTTCAAACGTATTTCTTCTTGTTCATCAAGAGATTCGATTGATTCATCTTCAATTTTTGATTGTTTCACATTTATTAATTCATTTTGTTTTTGTTCACGTTTACGCTTTCGACTTTTTGAATTAGTCGACGTACCAAATTTATCTTGTAATTTCATTTGATCTTCATCATTTAAATCAATAAATCCAGCAAATCTAAAAATAAAAATAAAATATTATTTCAAAGAAAGTTTATTTAATCTCTAAAACAAACGATTGAGCAACACCAGAAAATCCAAGATCTTTTTTCATTTGATGAAAACATTGAAGATGATACCAATCATCTGTTGGTCCATAACATCTTGCTCTTTTACTTGTATAATTTTTTTTTGATAAACGAAGTGTCTCTTTTCCAATTAATAATTCACAACCATGACATTTACTTCGATTTGATTTAGCATATTCAATAGTAAATGAATCATTTGGAATATTACCATCTAATCAAATAAAGAGAATAGATTAAAAATTCTTAACTATGAATTTACCTAACGGCATCGTAGAATTTTCTTGAATAATCTGACGAATTTTCTCTTGATCTTCCCAGCGTAAATCATCGAAACCTTTGATAATGTTTACATCAATTAATTTGACTTTGTTGAAAAAACAATTCATATGATACCATGTTGGAACCTAGAAATAAAATTATTTCTTTTTTTTAAAATCTATTCAAAACAGACTCTGCCACCAAATTTTGATGAATAAACCATAATTGCAAATCGAAAAGTATCTTTATCGATTTTTGATGAACAACTTTTACATTTTGATCGATTCGATTTTGCATATTCTACTCGAAATGAAGATTCAACTGTCGACATATTTTACTTTTTTCTTTCTAATAATGAAATTCTTCATTTGATAAACATACGACAATATTAGCATCCTATGATGAAATTACACACAAGAAAAACAAAATATAAATATGTTAATAAATCATTTTACAGTTTACATTCAAACACCAATCATAAAGATATTGATTAGTTAATCATTATGAAATTATTAAACTTTTAGATAATTCAATTAGATAAGAAAACAATCATGTTCTTCCCTTCAATGATACCTCATATATAGTCGTTCAATGCGACATCTGCCTTTGACGTTGGTAACTAAAACAATTACAATTACTTTTTTATTGTTCATCAGAATATTCAACCAGCTTTTAACATCTCAAAACAATTCATCGTGAGAGAAAGAAAGACCAAATTTAACTAATAGTACTTTTTATATAAATTTCAAATATGAAATATTTTCATAGAAATACATAAATATTTATAGAAGAATACAAATTGAAAATTAAAGAGAGTTCCATTGTTGCAAAATTTCTTGTTGTTGTTCTGCAGTTAAACGTGGTCCATGATTAGATACAACTGCTGCAGCTGCAAGACATGCCAATTTACCTACTGTCGGAAAATCTTTTCCTTGTGTAATACCAAACAGAAATGCTCCTGCAAACATATCACCTGCACCAGTCGTATCAATTGCATGTACTTTATATGGTTCAATAGCGTGCATTTGTATTCCATCATAAACTAGAGCACCATCAGCTCCGAATGTAATTGCGAATGTATGTGCTATCTTTTTTAAACTGTCAATAGCAATATCAATATTATCTGTTTCTGCCCAATTCAATGCTTCATATTGATTACAGAATAATAAATCGATAGGTTTCTTTAAAATTTCTCGTAAACGATCACGAAAAGTTATCAAAATACCTGCATCAGAAAAACTCATTGCTATTTTTACATTGTTGAGTTGAGCAATATCACATATACGAATAGCAGCATTAAATGTCGGTTGAGACATTATCATATACGCTTCAAAATAAACATAATCTGAAACACTAATAATTTCTGGTTTAATATCATTTTCGGATTGTGTTGCATTAACACCAAGAAATGAACAAAGAGTTCGTTCAGCATCTGGAGTAATCATTACTAAACATGTACCAGTCATATCTTTATCTTGATAATTATCTAAATTGTAATCAACACCTGCTTTTTTAAGATCATTCAAATAAAATCGACCATTATCATCATTGCCAACTTTACAAGAATAAAATGTTTGACCACCAAATTGATTAATTGCAATAAGAGAATTAGCTGTAGAACCACCACTAGTTCTTTTCGCATATATCATATGATTAGTAAGATAATCAAGTAATTGTTTTCGTTGAGTTTCATTCACAAGTGTCATACGACCTTTTTCAATCTTCATCATTTCAAGATCATCATCAGTTACATCGATTTTTGTATCGACAAGTGCAGCACCGACACCATATACATGATAACGTTTTACCATTTAAACTTTATTTTCTATAAATATAAACAAATCATTAATATGAAGTAAATTTTGTTTCTTAATTAACCAACGATCAGCTATTTCATATATCTCTTGTTGATAAAACTACATCAACTGGTTTCTTTCTATTCACCTAACATATTTCATATCTTTTGTTGACATACATTACCTTGTTATTGGTAGAGAAGAAGAAGAAAAAATGATTCGTTTTACCTCTCTTTTCTTTCATGGTAGGTCGATCTGCGCTGATACTTGCAAAATGTCTTCAGATAAGAATTGACTGACATGATATTTATTCTTATTTAAAATACCAATTACATTCATAACAAACATCACACAGTATTTCTTTATTTATATTTGACATAGAAACGACCGAGTTTTTAAACAATTAATAGATGTCATACTAGTTAAATCTATAAAAAAAATTCTTCCAACTTTGTCACACTTTAATATCTATAATTTGATTAGAAATTTGATAAATATGATGATTTCTGATAGAAAGAGTGTTAGTATACTGATGGTATTGCACTTTTTTATATTTGTTCTTATCTAAAATTGTATTGATTTCATACAAAACATATACTTATATACCCCATTCATCAAAGAGAACAAAATAAGATAGGGATAAAGTATCTCATGGTATATGAAGTAAGAACAAACATCATTACATTCAGTTTAAATAAATATTCCATCTATCTTATATAAGTGAATCAGCAAGAAGAAAATCTTCCCTATATTTAATATAATAAGAAAAATCTATAAAATATTTTTAAAAATATTGAATTTCATATCATCAATAAGACAATAAGGTTTTGTATAGTTAGAATTATTATTAATATTAGTGAATAGAGTTGAATTATTCATAATTGTACCAATAAATACACTTATTTGTCGAGTATGAGGTAGAATACGTTCAGTTAAGTATTGATATTTAAAACTTGTTTGATTATAATTCGATTCTAAGTTGAAAATAAATAGAATTTTTATCTTTATTTACAAGAATGAAATAATCTACCAAGTATTTCTGTTTTAATTCCAATTAGATTTTCATCATAGAATCTAAGATAAATATTAGTTATATCTTTTCGATGTTGAGAAAAAGGACAAGCTAAATATGCTGAAAGATTAAACCAAGCATTATCACTATCAATAAAAAGAGAACAATGTCGAACATTAATATCTTGAAAAGCTCGACTATTAAAAAATAATTTGAAATATGATTTTCCATCAATAGCGTCTGGAATTTGTTCACTCTCATTCGATTGTTCAACTGCATTATATCCTGAACGTTGTAACCAATATTTCTAAAACGTTTGTTTTTTTTCCAAAAATAATCAAAAAATAAAAATTTACTTGATATTCAGTTTCAGCACTTCCATCTTGTATTAATTGTGATGTACCAATAATACTAAATGTTCCATTTGGTAATCGAGTATTAAGAAAATAATTAACTCGACTAGCGTTATAACTAAATATGATTTGACTATTGAATGTATCTGTATTTGTTAAATTAGCATTACGCATTGGTAATGACATATACATTTCAATTAGTTTTGAATTTGAAAAATCAATTCTTTCAGCATTATTTGCTTCTCCAATAAATTTTGCTTGACTTATATCAGCTGAAACAAATGATGAATATGACATTGAACAATTAATAAATTGAGCATTAATTAATAATGCTTGATCAAAATTTGCATACCACATTCTACAGTGACTAAAAATAATATTTGAAGCTAAAATGCCCGATAAATAAATATTATCTAATTGACAATGAAATGTTGATGAACGGATAAATTTTACTCCAGTTAAATCAGCACCATCCAAACGAAGACGTTCTTTTTCTGTTGTATTTCTATGAATAAATCCAATATCATAAAGAAATAAAATAATTGAACGTTTTCTTTGAATATCTAATTGTGAAAATGCATTTAATGTTTTTAAACGAATGATCTCTAAATTAATATTTCCATCTGATTTATATTTCGTTATATCTTCAAGATATTTATCATAAATATTTTGTTGACGAATTTCATTCGCTTGTCTTTCATCTTGTAATCGATTATCTTTTGCTATTTGATTTTGTTGAATTGTATAAATAAGAGTAAATACACCTAATATTATTGGTAAACAAGCTGACATTAATAATTTTATACAATGAAAATACCATTTCCTATTTGAAATTAAATCATTTGATTTAACCTTAGACGATTTCATATTTACTCGAATGAAACATTTATTTTAATATTGTTTTTAAAAAATAATAAGAACAAAGAAAATACATCGTTTTTTTTTAAATAGAACGTGCCCTTTTTTTCTTATTTGACTATTAATATTTGTAGAATTTGATTCTTTCCCGTAAATATTACTATCGACTAGAAAGATAAATTCCCTCGACTGAAAGGAGGGTTTTACGGAAAAAATGTGGGAAAAAAAACGAAAATGCGTTTGTGTGTATGTGTGTGCCAGGGCCAAAAGAACATCGAAAATTAATTTCTCGAAAAAGACATTTCTAGAGGTTTTTCGATACTGGGGAGTTCGAATCTGATGTCAGTGAGGTGACCATGGTAGTGGGGTGGGTGAGTTTGGGTGAGAGGTCAAAAGAACATCGAAAATTAATTTCTCAGAAAAGACATTTCTATAGGTATTTTGATACGGAGAGTTCGAATCTGAGGGCTATTGGGTGATCGTCTGGACGGGTGGGTGGGTGTGGGTGAAAGGTCAAAAGAACATCGAAAATTTATTTTTCGAAAAAAACATTTCTAGAGGTTTTTCGATACGGGGTGTTCGAATCTGGAGTCTGTTGAGTGGCCATGATGGGATGGTGGGTGAGAGGTCAAAAGAACATCGAAGTCTATTTTCTCGAAAAAGACATTACTAGAGGTTTTTCGATACGGGGAGTTCGCATCTTGAGGGTGTGGGTGTGGGTGAACGTTGAGGACCAACGGGAATCGACTTCTGAAAAAGTTGGCGTGGGTGAGATGGTAGAACGGTGAAATACTCAGACCCACATTCAAATCTCAAACTTTACCACCAGATCCACGTATACACTCACTTGACACCCACATCCATCTACACCGTCTCTAACGACTGCTTTCTCAGAACACTTGATGAAGAGAACGAACTTGATACGAGAAGACAGTAAATATAATATCAGTCGCCAGATGTAATCTGCATCACCGAGTAGTCGGGAGTGGCGGACCGAAGGGACGCCGACGACCGACTACGACGTCAATGGACACTCCTTGAGAAATATATAAATTTAGTGCGGTCATGAAAGAACATGTTATATCTCTCGTTAAAATATATGGTGAAAGAGTTAAGCTTGAAGCCTAATAAGCGCCAACTGATAGTTATTAGGTGAAGATCAGTCGTCATTAAGCGAATGTCCTCAACGAACATTACCCGTAGATAGTATGAGTTTGGTTACAGATGTTAGATGGAAAATGAGATTTAGCTTCAAATCGTACTACATAATACAAAACGTTCTTGTGTACTTTTATAATTCAAGAGGAAACATTTGCGCCTAAATCAGATATAAATCGGTATATCGATGCTCTCAATTTAGTATTAACAGAAAAAAGGTTTACCCAATACAGTCGAGGGTCAAGTGAGTCGCTCCGACGAGCGTTACTTGTCTTTATAAATCATGTTTAGTTTCATATCAAATGATATTTTTAGAATCTTATTAAATATAAAGTATTAATTGCTTAAAGAAGATTTTATTTGGGAATATTTCAACATAGTAAAGAACGAAGAATTTTCCTTAATATCATACGCTATGAACTTCTTTAGAATGAAAATTTTTTCATCTCATTATGATACTTAGTTCGAGAAAAATATAAAAAATTAAAAAGATAAGTTTTATTGCAAACTTCTGTATGTTCTTTATTTTTCATTATATACTGAGATATATAAAAAAATTAACATTATTTCGTTTTAATCTATTGTCTATCGATCAATTATAGTTTTCACTGTACTTCTTTCTAGTCGTTTTTGTCGGTTCTATTTCTAAGAGCTATAAATTCATTTACGTATTTTTATTTTTTATTTATAATTAAAAATATACAATCATTATTTTTTTGAGTAAAAATAAACAATTTTAATTATAACAATCAGTAAGTTCAATCAACAATTCTAAAAGAACAACTATTAAAACTAATAAAAAAACTATTTTCTAAAAATCTTCTTCCAATTTATTGTTTTGGGTGTGGATGTGGGTGTGAGGTGGGTGGGTGTGGGGTGCGTGTGGGTGTGAGGTGAGGGTGTGGATTTTGTATTAATCATGGATCTACACCCAGACCCAGACCCAGCAGACTGGCTGATACAACTAAAACAAAAAAAATTGATATAGCACAATTAACAAAATATAAAATGAAATTTATCAAAATATTGTTTAATTTTTTTCAGTTGTATTTTAAGATCGTCAATTGTTTTATTTTTTTGATTTAGTGTTGATACAAGCGAATCGATGGTGGTTTGCTGGTGTTGGACGATTAATTCAAGATTGTGTATATTATTACGAAGAGTTCCAATTTCGTCTTGTTGTGGTGCTAAATTCTAAAAAATTGAAAGAAGATTAGTACTAATATGTGAGATTTAATTATCTTGAGGGTGGGTGTGGGCGTGGGTGTGAATGTAGCCGAACAAAGTATGACACCCATACTTACACAGTTTTGTATTTTTTTACTAATTTTTTTGCCATTTGAAGCATTTCATTTGCATCATTATTTTTTATTTCATATGCACCAAAAAGTAGAGCACGCGAACAAAAATAATTGATAGCTGCAGTAAGAAAATCAATTTCTTCTTTACTTTTCACTAGAACAACGAATTTAAATGATTAGAATTCAAGTTTACAACTAAAAATTGATTGAAATTTGTGTCAAAATATATAAATATTGACACAATAGTTTGTCTACTAATTTCTTTTAATTTTTTTATGTAATTTTAAATGGAAAAAACTTATCAGACTTCATTCGTAATACTCAAAATCAACTGAATATTGTCTGAAACTTTATTTACAATATTAAATTTAATAATAAAATAAAAGTAATATAATTCAAATTTTTACAGTCAATTAAAACTAATCGGAAATTATTAATAAATAATTTTTCTTTTTATAGATATTAGTAAAAGTTCTCAAAAATAAACTAGAAGTTCTATATATAGAAATATTATCTAATAAACTTACTTACTATGATTATCTTCTGTTGCAGCTAAATTGATCATAAATTGACTTCTGTTGGTTGTTATATTGATTGATATTACACCAACTATTACATCATATGCACGATATTTTGTCACATTAGAAATGATGCATATTATTGGGCTAACATCTTTCGAAGGTCAACCAACAATTATATCAACGTTTGATTCACCTGTCAGCTCTGGTTCTTGTGTACGAAGATTAAAACAGACGTCATAATATTTAATATTTTTTAATACATCTTTATAAAATGATGGTTGATGAATATTAGTAGTACCAACATCCATTCGTGATATTTGCATTATTACTGATGTCTCCCAATATATACACAGGTCTATAAATATGATTATTATATTTTAGTGAATTTCTTTTTTTTTAGAAAAATACTCGTGTTATCAATTAGTTTGAAAGATTTTTAAAATCCTATTCAAGTGTATAGAAGTCTTATATATCAGAGGGAGAATAAAAACTAAAATTTAAAAAAAAATCTAATTCACATTCTTCAGAAATAATCCGACGAAAATTCTCTAACAACAGTCATTATAGGATCTTTCTTTTTGTTTTTTCGATAATATATATATATATATGTATCTTTTCTGTTTAACCATCCAATTATTCATTTTTCTAGAGATTATATTTAATGAACTTACGTTATACTTGATGTTGGTAAATAAATAGCGACCTGTTTAGCAACATTGTCAAAACATGTACAAACAGTATTCAAATCGATAATAGATGGGATATTAGTCGAACTTCGATGCTCGATAAATATCTGTTGACGATGATCTGATCTAACAAGAAAACTGATATGTGGACCAACACCTGTTGTTGCTAGAATATCGGTTCCAGAATCGAAAAAATCCATCTCAATATTATTTATTTGAACAGATGACATAGTCAATGGTGTTATTTTTTTTAAACGAAAGTTCAATGTACGTAGCACTAGAAAGAAAAAAAGAATGAAAAGTGCGCGTATATATATGCAAACACGAACGTAATCATTGTCATAACAATGGCTTCTTATTCAAAAGTAGAACGATTTGACTTAGACAAAGAACTTTGTGAAATATTCAAAGACGAATACGATTAGTATTATCTGATAACTAAATATATGAAATCGACGGATACAATTGTATTTTCAATAGTTTTCTGTCAAAATTAAAACAATAAAGAATTTTATACAAAATTCATAATTATTTAGAAAATCTTTACATTCATAGATTTTACTTAATGAAATAAGACTTAAATACCGAACATATATATATATATATGAGAGAACTTTTTAATTTCAAAAGATTTGTAGATATTTGAATAAAGATGATCAAGTTCATTTTTATTTAATAGATTAATAAATTAAATATTTTCAAACTAGAATATAATAGTCTCAAATATATTCGAAGAAGAGAATACTTAATGAGATTATGTTCAATTGTGAAAAATTCTTTTTTATAATTTTTTCAATGTTTTCATTATATAAGAAGAATTACACTCTGATTCATATTCAAAATAAATATTTCTTCCATGAATTTGAATATCAATAGTTTCGCTTAATATTTTCTAAACAAGACTCTAAAGATAAAACTAAGATTTTACCATGTGAAATTAATTTCTACATATGATGATGATTAAAGGTGCGATAACAAAAAAAATATTCTCGCTGATATTGAACAAGTAACGCTCCTACGGAGATTCACTCAGCTCTTTTTCTATAAAATAATTCTCAAAAAAATCCCAAAAAACTAATGTAAGCTTCGAATTCTTTGAACTCGATTATCTTTGGCAGAATCTTACCGAAAAGAATCCCTTTTGTCTCGACATCATTATTCGACTAATGGATGAAGTGTGGACATACAAGGAAGAAAGCAAACAATTTATTTCTGATAGACTTTTCTCTACGAGAAAGAGAACATTTGTTTCAAAAACATATTTTTTCGTATTTTTCATAGATATTTAAAAAAAACTTCTTTTAGTCATAAACTCTGGATTTTTTATTGACTTTGTTTTTAGTAGACCGCATGAATGACACGAAAATAATAAAATAACAAGTTTTCCTAGAAAAATATTTTTGATTTTTTTGTTTGATCAAAGAAAAAAAATGTTATTCTGCCTCCACGCAGGATCGAACTACGGACCTCCAGTTTACAAGACTGGCGCTCTACCACTGAGCTATAGAGGCACAATGACCTTAAAGATTCTTGAGCGATTTTCATAGCAAAAATTTTAACAATCGCTTTAGAAACGTTATTTATATTGTTTATTTTTTTCCAAAAGTTTATCTTTTTTGTGTCATTATCTGAAAGAGGTATTTATTTTTTATTTTATCTTGTTGAAAATAATAAATGACAAATAATTCAATCAATATTTAACAAAAAAGATAGATGTGAGATAATACACACCCACACCCTCAAGATGGTCCTACTCATCAAAATAATATGATAAACGTCTAATGCTAATATGAATTTTGATGTTATTACTTCTCAACATTATTCTCATTATGAAATGTTAAGAAAGATATTCGGACTTACTATGATTATCTTGTGTTGCAGATAAATTAACCATGAATTGACGTTTATTAGTTTTGATATCGATCGATATAACACCGACTGTTACATTTGCAACGGTATAGATTGTTGAATTATCTTCTTTTAAATATCGACCAACAATCACATCAACATTACATTCACCGGTTTTCTGTGGATATTTTATGCCAAAATTAAAACACACATCATGGTATTTAATGTTTTTCAACAGATCTTTGTAAAGAGAAGATTGATTGATATCACCATTACCAACATCAGTTTGAAGTATATTATGAATCTTTTCCTGTAGATCGATATAACTTTGATTGTAATTGACTCCTTCCAATACAAAGACAGCCCTATAAATATGATCATTTGTTGTAGGGAGTTCCTTTTTTTATTAAAAAATATTCGTCATATCAATTGATTCGAAAGATTTATGGAATCTCATTCAAGTCAATAAAAATCTTATCATTACAGAGAGAATGAAAACCAGAATTTTTATCGCAACATTTCATTTCAAATTCTTTATAAACAATTCGAAAAAAATTCTCCAGTAAGAACCATAGTAGTATCTTTTTCTCTCTCTCTCTCTGTCTTTTCAGTGATGTATATATATGTGACATTTATTTCTCTATCCAATATGTAATATAGTATTAGCTCGTTTCGACGAGCATGTATGTTTATTTATTTCCAATGAAAAAAGCTCCCATTGACTACAACACACACGTATATATATACTGTTCATGCAAAAACAAACAAGAACAACAAGAGAAAAAGAAAAGAAAGATAGAGAGAAAGAAAGAAACCAGGGAACAATCTCAAAGTGATTATCCTCTAATATATATTAAAACTGATATTTAAACAGAAATATTACAGAGGATGTTAAAATATAACAGAAGAAAAATAAGCATAATAAAGAGTGAAAAAAAACTATACGTTGAGAAAAAATAACAAAGGAAAAATAAAGTGAATATTAAAAACATAGTTGCATTGTATTCTTATTGATAGAAATAAAGAGCGATATTATCGATATCACCATCATTAACATCTCCCCCGCCCTTGGTACGGATAATTGTGACCTCTACTTTGCAAGACCGAGCGCCAATTGGTACAAGTCCATTAGCTTGTCGAAAAAGTAATGAAGTTACACTTCCACGATCTCCAGCGGATACTGGTCCAAGAGTAATGTTACTATTGATGTTTTGATTAGCCTGATCTATGAACGCCAATGAAACTTGAGCATTATCATTATGAAATGCATAACCACCAATCCATGCTGAGAAATTGAAATAAACTCTTTGATTATCAATAAGAATAGGATCAATTGAGTTTGTCATGTTTATATATTGCCACATTGAAGTAACAGCTGAAATATGACCATAGAAATAACAATTACCACGATCGCTGGAAAAAAAAGTAATAGTTTTAAACAATTATTTACTAAATTCTAAATTTTACCTAGGTCCTGGGCTCGTGAAAAACTGATCGGCAGCGGTGTTATTATAACGTACTTGTGTGATCGGTCCATCATACATCCAACCTGTTGGATGTGTTACATTTTTACCTAATTCACATGGTCCGGTCTCTGCATCACCATTTATTAACAAATTGGATTTGGATACTAAATTAAAAAAAATGATTTATTAAATGATATTTAATTATTTACAACTAAGAGGAACCAGATCTCTATGATAATTTAGGTCTAGAAGTTCAGATAAACTACTCAAAATACGTATTAATAAAAATTATATTTCTGCGAATTAGGAGCAATATGCAGTTGTTCTACTCTGAAAAATAATATTTGAGAAATCTCTTGAAAAAGTTCCGTAATATAAATATAATACAATTATACTGTGAACAATCTATGATCTCAACAGTTAAATCTCGTCGTTATTGTCTTCGATTTGGAACTTATTTTTGATGAATAAAATATGATATATTAGTCGTGTTAATTAGATAATCTATTATAAAAAACATACTTATTGTGTTTGTAGTTATAGTGGTGGTGGTTTTGGTTGTTGTCGTTGCTGCTATTTCTATTGTAGCTGCTGCTGCTATCTCTGTTGTTGTTGCTGCTGCTATCTTTGTTGTTGCTGCTGTTGTTATTTCCATCTTTGATGTTTTTTCCTTCTTTGTTTTATTCACTGAAGTAATAGTTGTTGGAATAACTATAATTATCACAACGAAAGTAATGAAAATTATTATCCATATTAATCTTCTTTTTCGAAAATGTTCATATCTAGAATAAGAAATGCTTTTGATAATTTATTGTAATTTATTATAAATACATACAATTTTCCTAATCGTGTTGTGTTAGGATTAACTACCGGCGACTAAAATATTCAACAAAGAAAGTAAGATTATTGTCTTTTTATTTAATACATTACTTCAACAACTCCAACTCTATTATTGATGTTCATAGTTATTATTTTATCCGAATTTGAATATTTTTAACAACCTAAAATCGACACAAAAACTCTTTTTCTTCAATAATCATTCATCAATTAATCAAAATAAAATAATGTTAGAAGAAAGTTTTGATTTATTCTTACTTGACCTGTTTAAAAATAAAATGGTAAATGATATGTATTTTCCTACTTTTCAT